GTCACTTATCATCAATAAAGAAAAAAGATCTCCATTCCTTTCATATTCACTACTCGATATATAGATAAATATTTTATTTTGGTACCATTTCCAAAAAATAAAAATAAAGACATAAAACACACACTCTACTTCTCAATTTGACAAAAAAATATTTGACTTTTTTTTTGAAAATAACATTAAACTTTTTAAGTTATAAAAAATAATATCTAAATTATTCGACAGTGTTAAATTAAAAAATTGATCTGACGTGCGTATGGAAATATAACATGGCATAAAAAAATTTACACTGAACTTTTGTTAGCCACGTCAGTACTTTCGTACACCACGACAGGATATTAAATTCATTTAACACTCGTCGAATAGGTCAAGTATTATTTTGGATAATTTAAAAAGTTTCGTATTTTTTTAATTGAAAAAAATTAGGTTTTGTTTGTTAAAATTGAAAAGTTCATTTTTTCTTATTTTTCTTTATTTTGGTACCATTTCCAAAAAATAAAAATAAAGACATAAAACACACACTCTACTTCTCAATTTGACAAAAAAATATTTGACTTTTTTTTTGAAAATAACATTAAACTTTTTAAGTTATAAAAAATAATATCTAAATTATTCGACAGTGTTAAATTAAAAAATTGATCTGACGTGCGTATGGAAATATAACATGGCATAAAAAAATTTACACTGAACTTTTGTTAGCCACGTCAGTACTTTCGTACACCACGACAGGATATTAAATTCATTTAACACTCGTCGAATAGGTCAAGTATTATTTTGGATAATTTAAAAAGTTTCGTATTTTTTTAATTCAAAAAAAATTTAGGTTTTATTTGTTAAAATTGAAAAGTTCATTTTTTCTTATTTTTCTAAAAAAATAAAACACTTGCCGATTCATAATTATCAATAACTTATAGCATTGCGAATATTATTAAAACGGATTGATATATAAAATATGAAATTCTAGGGTTATCTTATTTTATTTAGACAACATTCATGCTATTAAAAGAATGAAAGTAAGAAAATACTTATAAAACCCATAGATAACATAAAGAACCTTAAGTATATTTAGAACCTATACTCCTCTTCTAATTTAGTTTAACCGGTTCAAATTTAAATCCGGGCTATTATACTGATTCCAATATCATACCACGTTTTGTACCGCCATTTGGTTGACTTGGAAACTATTGAAATAGAGAGATTGAACAAAATCAATAAAAGTAGGGATCGACGTTTCAGTATTTGGTTCAGGAATAGTTCGGTTCGATTCTTTCAGTTTTACAAAATTATTTACCAATCAGTTATTATATCATATTCGGTTCGGTTCAGTTTCAGTTTGTACTAAAAAAATTCGATCTTTTTAAAAAATATTCGATTTTTCGGATTTTTTAATTGCGTCCAATTCAATTCGTTTTCGAGTTTTACTCATGGATATATCTTACATGGTTTTTTAACCATGTTTGGATTGGGTTTAGGAAGTCCTCAAGGATTGAGACTACTCCTAGGTTTGATTCACGAATTGTTAAGGGGTTTTGGTAACATCCACGACTATCCTTCTCACCTTATTTGAGAACTTTTGAGTCCAAGATCGTATCACTAACCATGTTCAACAACAAAAGAGAGAAAAGAGGAAACGTAGAGAGAGAAGGGAGAGAGAGATGCTCAAAATGGGCTTCAATCTTCAATTCCATGGCAAATCCCCTTCACTCTCCTCCATAACATCAATAACCAAGCTCCAACTAGAGAAAAAATGGTTCTTTTTTCGTCCCCAAAGTACAGAATCCCCTAGAAATCACGAAACTCGTGATTTTTGTCTATCAGTTCGTCTAGACTGATCGGTCCAGGTGTGGACCCACCGATCTAGATCATTTTTGGAACGGTCTCGATCTGGCTGGCGATATTGTCTGGACCGATTGGTCCAGGGGTTTCCTCCTTGAATCCGTTTTCTCAGCTTTTTGTCTCGGTTTCTGCACAACGGTCTCGACCTACACGTGTATGCAAAGTCTCCAAATCCTCGGGTGTGTGGTTTTGCCAAACCAACGTTGATTCAGTCTGATCCGAGTTTTTGATTTCCTCGTCTTACGTCGAATTTCTACATTTCTCCTCACAGACCTGCGAAAACCGTAAACTAGTCCCGAAGGACTAAATGGGCTCTAAAATGCCTAGGATGTGTAAAACCCATCTAAAAACCAAAGGCATATCGCAATGAAATCTAGATAACATCCGAGCCATCACTCAGCTTTGACATGACCCATCACAGACGATCGAAACCTTGACAAGTGCTTGAAACATGAGCGATATTAGTTTGAAATTATAACGAGAGATTCTTTCGTTATCAAAAAGCAATTTATTACATTCAAGAGATGAGAAATCATTTCTCAATCCCTATCTCACTTAAATAATTCAGTGTACACAGTTTTGAGGTGTCCCATACACGAATTACCAAGGTCTTGGCAAGAACTCTAATTGTAATAGTTATTTTCTCGTTCGATCAAAATATAATCATTATACTTTTGATCAGACTTGTTACTTAGCTCGAATAGATCATCTATTCAGCTTAGTAATCTCAGTCCTGAAATTTCCACTCAATCAAGTAACTCTTATACTTGATTAAATTCTATGCACTTAATTCATATAGGCCATCTACATAATTAAGTCATAGACCAAAATTATCACAATCAACTCAATCAAGTAACATTACTTAACCAAATCGAGTTCAGAAAACGCGAAAATCCGACAAACAATTGGTTGGTTCCAGACCATATCTTGGTCCGCCGGACCAAACCACAAGTGAACTCGGATGGTCAGCTCGAACTAAAAAAGAAGCACCGGAGTCTCTAGAGTTGGTCCGGTCCTGACAAGAACTTGGTCTGTCGGACCAGGACCCAAGACTCAACTCCTTCTCACACAGACCAGAGTTCAATCCGCTCGAACTGATGTGATTGGTCCGAGTCGGACCAACATTTGATCCGCCGGACTAGCCACCTTCAGTCAGTGGCTCGCCATCTCGGACCAACACTTTGTTCTGTCTGATCCGAAATATTTGGTCAGGGTCATACCAACTCTTGGTCCGTCGGACCACACATGTCGGATGGGCTCTCGAACCATAGAATTTCACGTCGGACCAAACAGATGTCCGATCCGCCGGACCAACATTTTGGTCCACCGAACCAAGACTGTTTTTGTCTGACTCTTCTCTTTTTGGGTCCACCGAACTTGTCCTAGTCAAAGTTCGAACTTGCGATTCGGGGCTGATTAACTCTTGGTCTGCCGGACCGTAGGATTCTGCGCAGAAAATAAAAGTTTTTCAACTCGATCTGATTTTGAGTTTTATTCGAATCCGTTTTTCGCTCCGTTTTCTCGAACTGACTCATGATTCAAGCCTCTGCACATCCATGTAAAGTTACACAAAAAAATCTACCATAGATTCAATTATATCACAGCTTCTACATGGATCAAAACCAAGGAAAATCTAAGTTTGAACACTTTCAAATTCCCTCAAGAGTGGTCATTTTTCATCGAAACCAACAACCGGACTCTAATACCACTGCCGAGTCACGCAGGATCCTCATTCACCGATTCAAAACCATGTTTCAGATCTGGTCCACAGGCTTGCGCAACGAAAATGACATTCAAAATGATTTTGAACGACCACGAACCAATCATGCTTTGATGAAGATCTTCAAGAACAAAAACTAACCTTTTTGAAACCTTAAATTCACAATCTGAAGGCAACTAATTGATCACAACTAAGGTGTTGAAAGAGCCAACACCTTCTTGAGCGATCCACGCCCAATTGGGATAGATTCCAACACTTGGAATCTTGCTTGCTAGAGTTTGAAGAGATCAAATCTCTTGTTTTGGATTCAGGAACACACTCCTACGCTTGAGAGAGTCTCTCCAAACTTCCCTTGGCTCATCTGATGGTCTAAGGATGAGATAAGGTTGTGCATGCCTAGCATTCCCCATCTACTTCCCACCAAGAAAAAGATGAGAAAACACACTATGGGTCTGTCCAATTGCTTGGTCTGGTGCTGACCAACTCTTGGTCCGACGGACCAAGCCCGCATTACCGACACTGCCGACAACTCTTGGTCTGTCGGACCAAGATTTCAGTTCGCCGGACCAAGACAGGTTCGAGCCACATGCACAAGTCCGACTGACCAGTATGGTCCGCCAGAAATTTGTTAATGAAATCACCTGTTTTTATCTAAAAAATAACTGAAATTTGTATTTATTTGGAAAAAATTTCAAAAGTTTTGATATTTATATAGGATTTTTAAAGTTCAGATATTTATATAGAAGTTTTATAGTCCAGATATTTTTGTGAGATTTTCATAAAACTTTAGGTATTTATATGCTATTTTTTGTTAAAAGAATGAAAGTAAAAAAAATATGTATAGAGCCTAAAGACGATGGGAACAACCTTTAAACATATTTAGAATCTACACTCTTCTTCTGATTTGGTTTAATAGGTTCAAATTTAAAACCGGGCTATATATTATATCGATTTCAATGCCGTACCACCTTTTGATTGTGTGTAATTCATTGCAAGCGGTGAAGTTTTTTATTTTTTCTACAAGTATTTTTATTTTTATAAAACATTCAATTACCTAGTTGCAATTTACCAGTGGAAGCTAATAAGGGTAATGCCTTAATGTGCATGATACAATCACCGTACACATTCCACTTGCATGAGGACATGCATGCATCGTGGAATTTCTTTCTTGAAAATATTCTGATTTCGTCAAATATATTGTAAATTTGATCTCTTTCCTGATTTTTCAAGCTCTTGTTGTCGTTTAACACCAATTTCTCACTAAAACCAAGTCGAGAGATCAAAATCAGTTCGATATTTTGTACTAATCATGGCATTATTTTCTAAGTGTATGGATTTCTTTCACTTTATATGAAGATTACAACAAATTAAACCAATTCAATGAAATGATGATACGAATTACCCCTCTATATATACCCACCCAAAGAACACCCACAAACAGAGAGGGATGGAGAGCAGAAACGTGATGGTGATGATGACGGGGACATTGGTGGTAGAGACAGAAGCACTGTCTTTGGACGGTGCTACCCAATGTGTCTGGTGGCTTGTATAGCCGAGAAGGGGTGCTATTCCTTCATGTGTCCTTTCTCTTCCGTCAAAAAGTGCCGGAATCAGGATTCTCTCTCTTTTTCTCTCCCTGATCATTCCCCTACATCTCGAAAGGTATATATGTAATGTATACATATATACCCCCACTCATTATTTCTTTTATTTTTGTAATTTTTCTTTTTCATTTTAACCTAGTTCATCAGTATAAATTCGAGTTTGATAAAATTTTCATGGCTAGGTCGTTAGGGTTTCAATATATAATTATCACTCTAACAATTTTCTTTTTCTTTTCCGTTTTTTTTTTGGTTCAAATGAAGTGAAGGTCGAGGGCCAGCGTAAATCCATGGTGGGAGACACTACAGAAGAACTTGTAATATCAATATTCTAATTGGTTTTTATTAATTTTTTATTATCATCAATAAGGAAAAAAGTTACACGTTCCTTTTATATTCACTACTTTATATATATAAATAAATATTTTATTTTGGTACCTATACAAAAAAAAAATATATGGAGAAAAAAATACTCGACTTTTCAATTTTGACAAAAAAATACCTGAATTTTCTTTGAAAAAAATGCTAAATTTTTTAAATTGTCCGAAATAATATATAAATTATTTGATGAGTGTTGTCAAATTAAACAATTGAGCCGCGTTGCGTACAGAACTGTAGACATTAGGGGTGAGCATTTTTATCCGAGATCCGCGGATTTTCAGATACCCTATCTCGCGGATACCCAGAAATAATTACTCGTGAGACAATAAGATAAAGATCAGGTTCCGTGAGATGAAAAACCCGAGTTTTGAGTTCGGATTTAGATATTTCAAGACGGATTATCACACGGATATCCGGTAAAATAAATAAATTACTAAAATACCTTAATTTTTAATAAATTTACCTAAATACCTTTAATATTCATAATTCTAATCGATGTCTTCTCTCTCTCTCAGACAACTCTCCGCCTCATTTTTTTTACAAGTTTCAGCCCTCTCTCTCTAGTCTCAACATCTCTGTGGCTCTGCGTTTGTGAGATTTGTCCAGCCTCATCTCCACCTTGCTCTCTGTCATGCTCTCCGCCAGGTCTCAGTTTTGTCGTCGGGTGACGAGTACAGACCGGTATCTCCATTTCTGGCTTACTCTCTCTCACTCTCAGTTCGGTATCTCTGGCTTGCTCCCCTAGTTTTGCGGTCTCTCCACCATCTCTGCTTTACTCTGTCTCGATTCAGTCTCTGCCTTGCACTCCTCCGTTTAGTCTCTTTGTCTCTGCCTTGCTCCCTCAAATTTGTCCAGTTTTTTTTTCAAAATTTTACACGAGTTCGGGTATCGCGGATACCCGAACTCGTGTCTCGGGTATCCGAGATTCGAGTACTCGGGCATCGCGAGATAGAGATCTATACATTCCAATCAAAAACTCGACAATACCAAGATCGAGATAATGGTACCCTAAAAAGTCCGGATACCCCTCGTGCCCACCCCTAGTAGACGTGGTGTAAAAAAGTTTTCACATTGCACGTTTGTTCGTCGCGTCAGCACTTTCGTACACCACAACAGTTCGTTTGTTAATTTGACACTCATCGAATAGTTCATGTATTATTTTGGACAATTTAAGAAATTCAATATTTTTTTAGTTAAAAAAATGAGATTTGGTTTTATCAAAATTGAAAAGATGAATAAATTTTTAGGATTTTCCCAAAAAAATAAAACTCTTCCCAATTCATAATTATCAATAACTTATAGCGTTAGGAATACTATTGAAACGGATTAATATATAAAATATGAAATTCTAGGGTTATCTTATTTCATTCACACAACATATATGCTATTAAAAGAATGAAAGTAAAAAAAAATACTTACAGAACCAATAGACCACAGAAACATTCTTTAAGCATAGCATATTTAGAGTTTACGTTTCTCTTCTGATTTGGTTTAATCGGTTCAAATTTAAAACCGGGCTATTATACTGATTCCAAATATCTTTTGTACCGACATTTGGTTGACTTGGAAATGAATGAAATAGAGAGAATGAACAAAATAAATAAAAGATTAAAAGCTTACAACTTTTGGTTACATATTTGACCTTATAAACTCTGAGAAACCCTAAACTAAAATCTGTTGAATTTTAGGTCCTTATCTTAAAAGGTTGTATCCTCTTTACAACACAGAGAAGACTGTTTCTCAAGTCATCAGTGTTAAAAGATTGAAGCACCCTCATGGACCTTCAAGAAAATGCTCAAGTTACGGTCATGGGCATCATCCTTCGTCAGCATTCGCGTCGGATGGCGGAGATTCCACCAAATTTTGGTTCGATTCTTGGACACCGTTGGGTCCTCCATGGGATGTTTCCGGTGCCACCGGAACTGCTCAAATGGGCATTCCTCGGGATGCCTTTGTTTCCAACGCCCATAACCAAGGTCGTTGGAGGCTGGCACATCCGCGATCTGATGCTGCCCTCGCTCTCGCCACCTACCTTGCAGGTTTGCATCTATCCTCAGACCCAGACACCTGTATATGGATAGCCAACAGCCTGCCTATCACTACCTTTGTGGCTAAGGACATATGGAAATCACTCGGGAGTTCGGCAACTTCCTCGCCTCCCCTAGCCACCATATGGTATAAAGGCCAACAAGCCTTCATGTTCTGGTTGATCAATTTGAATCGCTTCCCAACAAAAGATCGCATGATCTCATGGGGAATTGGAAACAATCCCCTCTGCCTGTTATATAATTCCTCAAGAGATCACATCTTCTACAGCTGATCCTCGCATCGGGTATCGGTAGGCTTGGTATCAATCTCTCTGTTCTCTCATGGATTCAGGTGCTAGAGGCCATGCCACACTACCAGCTATGCAGGGACAGAAGATGGATGATACTCGTTTTATGGCAACTTACTCCGACATATCGGGCATGAAGAGAGAAGTCGACAGAGCTTTTCGAACACGAATCGCGGCACTGCGACTGCAAAATCCCGATCGAGCAAGCTCTTGTTTGCAGATCTGGTTCTCCTCTGCCTCCTGGGGGGTAATGATTAGAACAATCAGTTCTCTGTCTCTGTCTCTATAATTCCTACTACTTAGGAATTGTCTCCTTTGTTTTTTGTAATATGCGAGGCAGAACACTCAATGTAACGCTGCTCTAGTAATACAGTCAACCTTTACCGAAAAACAAAAGATTGAAGCTTTATCGATGGAGGATGCATGTAAAGTCTCAGTCCATTGTTAAAGGTGGAAGCTTTACTGTGAAAGCGATGCTCTTGAAGCATTATGATACATGGGCTTTTGGCTGCTTTGTGCCATTCGACATGAGAGACTCCAGTTTAGGTGGAGGGTTAGATTTGCCTAATTCTGTTATTATTTCTGGTTTATATTATTAAATCATCAACTAGTTTTTTGTTTCTGTGTAATTCGCGACAAGCAGCGAGGTTCTTTATTTTTTGTACAAATATTTTTATTTTTATAAAACATCCAATTACCTAGTTGTAATCTACCAACGGAAGTTAAGGGTAATGCCTTAATTGAGGCACAGTAATGTGCATGATCCAATGTATACATTAGATACAGTTCACCTGCATGAAGACATGCATGCATCGTCGAATTCCTTTCCTGAAAAAATTCTAATTCTGTCAAATATATTGTAAAATTGATCTCACTTTCCTAATGATCCAAGTTCCTGTTTGTCATATACGCGCCATTTAGCGTCAATTTTTCACTAAAACCATATCTAGAGATCTCAATCAGCTGGATATTGTGTACTAATCAGGTATTATTTTCAGGATTTCTTTCACTTTATATGAAGATTACAAAAAGAGAAAACCCATTTAATGAAATTATGAAACAAATTACCCCTCTATATAAACCCACCCAACGCACCCACCCAAAGAACACCCACAAACAAACATTTAGAGAGAGAGAGAGAGATGGAGAGCAGAAAGGTGATGATGGTGGGGATGGTGATGATGATGATGATGATGGGGACACTAGTGATAGAGGCAGAAGCAATCTCGTTCGGACAGTGCTACCAATTTTGCATTGTGGGCTGTGCAATGCAGAAGAAGTGGAAGGCCTTTGTCTGTCCTTTCACTTGCATCAAAGAGTGTCGGAATCCTCCTTCTCTCTCCTCTTCTCACTCTCATTTCGCCACACCTCGAAAGGTATATGCCATTCATTATTTCTTTTATTTTTATAATTTTTCTTTTTCATCTTAACATAATTCATCAATGGAAATCCTGACTTTGATAAAAATTTTCATGGTTAGCTTGTTAGGGTTTGAATATATAATTATCACTTTAACAATTTCCTTCTATTTTTTTTTTTGTTCAGATGAAATGAAGATCGAATCCAGACATAAATCTATGATGGGAGACACTATTGAAGAACTTGTAATACCAATGTTCTAATTGGTACTTGTTAATTTTCGAAATCTCATTCCTTTAATATTCACTGCTCGATATATAAATAAATATTTTATTTTGATACCTATATGGTTGCGTAGCGTAGTTCTCTCTCACAAAAAAAAAATTCTTCTTGATTCATAATTATCTATAACTTATAGCGTTGCGAATATTATTGAAACGGATTGATATATAAAAATATAAAATTCAAAGGTTATTACATACATATGATTAAAGGAATGAAATTAAGAAAATATGTCCATGAACTTGTACTATATATATATATATATATATATATATATATATATATATATAGAGAGAGAGAGAGAGAGAGAGAGAGAGAGAGAGAGAAGAAAAAAACAATCAAGTTTCTTACAGTTTCTGGTTCTAATCTCTCTAAAACTGTGTATGCAAGTATGCAATGTCTGTATGGTTGATTCTCCTATATGATTTGAACAAATCTCTGAGTTTTTTTGAAGAAGAAAGTGTCTAAGTCCAAGTGTGTGTGAATTCTTTTTTACCAAAAACAAAAAGAGGAATCCGATGAGTAAATAAGCGAAATCAAAAGGGTGTTTTGTTGGTTGTGTTTGTGAAATCAAAGTGATCCTATATGAACAAGATGAATAAATCTTCCTATGAGTATGCAAAAAAAAAATTGAAGAACACAAATGGAATGAATGTTGAAACAAATCCGCAAACTATATCCAGAAAAAAGAATGAAAGAATGAAGGAAATTTTCTAATCTAAGATCAAAACAGCCTACCTATATATATATATATATATATATATATATATATACACAGAGTCGTGTGGATCGTGTATCATGCTTTTCCTTTCTCAATTTTTGTCATTTTTAATTTAAATTAATCTAACTTTCTGAATCGTTCATGTTCCTGCTGGAACGTAGCATGCACGGAGGTTTGTACTAAACACCACGTTATCTTTGCCGAATCCGAACTGAATCCAACCGTTTGCCCACGTGACTAAGGTCATTGTCTTTAGCCTTGACGATTATTTTGTCGAAACACTGCTCTCTCTCACTTAGGACCCATGTTATTGTTTTTACCTTTGATTACCTATGGATATTGGAAAGGAAACACTTCGCTAACAGCCTTGAAGCATGTTTAGAGTCTACTACACTCATCTTCTGATTTGGCTTAACCGGTGCAAATTATAAACCGGATTATCATACCGATCCCAATACTGTACCAACATTGGTACCCACCTTTGGTTGACTTGGAAAATACTGAAATAGAGATTCAACAAAACAAATAAAAGATTAATAAAAGTTCACAACTTTTGGTTACATATTTGACCTTATAAACTCTGAGAAACCCTGAACTAAAATCTCTTGAATTTTAGGTCTATCACAACATTTGCATTCTTTTCTTGTTTGTTTGTTCCCCCAAATTCTACAAAAAGGCTAAAGAACTCCTTAAAAAACGGGGCTTTAACCTCTCCCTAAACCGGCCCCGGTTGATGACCTAAAACCGCATCAACCGGCTCGGGTATACAATTACAGAATCTAAACATAACCCGCCTTTGGTATGCGTACAATCGATCTGGGTCATTGAGAATTTTAACCTTGTACTCGACCTTTTCGATTTCTCCACCACGAAGTTTCCGGTGTGGTAATGAGTCCAGTTTCCCTGCTCGGTTAACATGCATTGAGAAGTGGAGTACTGACCGTCTTCTGTCCAGAGTTGGAACCGAACAGGTTTGATGTCCCAACCATGGACCTGCTCAGTGTTACAGACCCGACGGCCGAACCGCTTGGTGGGTCGGCCAAGTTGAAGCCTGAAAAAGACGCTGTAGGTTCCGGGTGGGAGCGGGAAGTTGATTTCTCCATCGACTTCAAACCACCAGATTTGTTGGAGATATGCTATGCATGAAAATCTGTATAATCAAGAGAAAGGATTTATTTTCAGACACAGAACTAGTGAAAGAAACAGATACTGGCAAGAACGTTAGATTTTGATCATCAAAATATTAACCGGCTAATGCGAACTTCAACTGGAAATGACGGTTAAAGTTCCAAACTTTTTAGCTGTTTTCAGTAATACTGTTATCTAAGTGTCCTATAAACATTTTTGCCGATTTCTTTAGAAACAAATCCGTATTCGACTAAAATGAATTGACACGAAATGTAAAAGCTTCATAATCAATTACAAATTCAGAATTCAGTTATCGGAAAAATGCAAATTTTAACCGGAAATGGTGAATGTTTGATCATCAAAATTATACCAATGACATACCTAAATAGAGACAGATCTAATAAGCCATGTGAGACTCAATCTCAATCTGGTTGTGGGGAAACACAGACACACTATGGACAGAAATTGATGATTCTTTGCCAAATCCAAATGGAGATTGTTGATCGAGTCTTACCGAGATTCATCAGATGGAATATGACTCCAATATCTCCGATCATCGATGCCGGTGATCGATAAACCCCGGGCCGAAATGCATAGGCAGATGCCTCCTGTTCTCTTATCAAGCCACACTTTCTGCAGGAACTGCAACTCATCTCCATGGTTGTTGTTGTCCACTTCTTCACTTGTCCCTGCTAATGCCAAAACCAATTCACAAAAGCTAAATCAATACACCAACACACGCAAGTTTCCCGGACGAAAAGACACAGATGATAACATATTCTTCTTTTTTCATCTCATCTGATTCAAGAATTTTCTCTGGCTTTCCCGAAAAGCAAACAGAGATTTGATCAAACAGATTGGTTCATACAAATCCTTCGAAACTTCTGTTCCCAAAACCGTCCAAAAACCCTAAATTTTCCGGGAAAACTAACAGGGCAAAGTAAGAGAAAGCATAGGGGGCGTAAAGCACGAACCTTGGAGCCGTCGTCGAAGGAATTGATCCGACAAAGACAGGAATAAATATCCCGTTTCTGCAAATTTTCCGGGAAAACACCGAGGATTCTCTCGAGGATAAGACTGTAATTCGGAGGAAGCTTCGATTCCCAGACGAAATCGGCCCAGGAAGCGCCGCGAAACGCCCTGTTAAGCTTCGCGAATCTGCAGATCTCAACCGGATCCAAATTCTCAACGATCAGAGCCACACAACTCTCCGGCAAATCACCCAGATTGGTCTTCGACAAATTCCGATCACCAGAGCAAGAATCCGTAGAAAACCCATTTTGAAACCCAGAGAGACCCGCACCCATCACGCACTGGAAACGAAACCCTAGAAAAAATCCCTCCTCGAATGCGAAGATGCTGAGAATTTAAAGGAAAATAGATCGGATTGAATTCTCCAGAAATCGAATATTCCAACCTTATTCAGAAATTGCGAACCTTTTCATCGCGGGTCTCGTCGCACACGCAATTCTTTCCTCAAGAACAGGGCAATAAAAGGGAAATGTTTGGTAAGAAGATACATATATACATAAAGGGCGATTTATTTGTAGGACCTGTTAAATAATATTTAATTTATTATTGGTTACATTTAGATATCTTTGTAGCTATCCATAATCTATTTATTTCAATCTCATTTTCCCTTTTGACCGCTAATGGATCGATTTCATATGAAAAAACAGATATTTATATTAAACCAGACAGAACAGATTGCCTAATGCTAAGTCTAAATAGCCACAAAATGCACAATTAAATTCACTAAAAACTGAAATAGAATTTTTCATTACTGAACAAAAAAAATACAATAATGTAAAACATTACAAAGACATACAATTTCATCTATTAAGTTTTGTAGTTTTCTGGAAAATAAATTAAAAAAAAAATAAAGAATAAAAAATAATAGAAAAACATCCGATCTCTCTATTTTTTTTCCCTCATTTTTCATCTCTAGCTTTCTCTAAATCCTAAAAAAAAACTCTTGTATTTTTTTCTTTTAAAAAAAGTTAAAAAAAAATTTAGCTGCGTTGAGAGAAAGACGAAGAACTCCCTCCGATCTCGCCGGGCGTCCAAGCCGACACTGTGTAGAGCTCCTGATCCGACCACCGCAACGTCACTCCGCCGCCCTCCTCCTCCTCTTCCCGCCGCTCGACGGTGAAGCCTCCGCCTCCGCCGCCGTACATCCGGAGAAGCACCTTGCTCTGCAAAACCTCCCTCTCCGAGACTCCCAGATTCCGGAACCCTGATTGTTCCAGCAACCTCCTCCATCGCCCGAATCGCATGTGCCTCTCCTGTCGGTGGCTTCCTTCGCAAGCAACGATGTTCCTGATCTCCCTCCCGAACATATCCTCGACCTTGACCCTGATCAAGCTATCTGTCGGAAGACTAAAGTGCAGTGAATCGAATATCGCGGAGTAGTACTTGAGCGAGTGGCAGACACGGGCTTCGAGATGACCCGTGTCGTGATCTGCTTCTTGTTCCGCGATAACGACTGCGATTGGGTTTATGCTTCGGATTAACCCTAGAAAAGCCCTAATCGCTGCACCTGTCGTGTCGTATAGCGCCGTGTGCAGCTGGAAAACGCAGTTTACGGCCACATATTCGCCTTCTTTGACGTGAAGCATCCATAGCCTTACGTCTTCGAGCCTGTCAACGACAGGGTGAAACTCGAACGGGAGATTCAGGGCCTCTGCGAATCTGTAGAGACGGTCTCCTGTCTCGTTGAGCTCTTGTTTCGATTCTCCAATGCCTGTGATCCGAACATGGAGTGGAGGGTTCGGTCTTGAAGCCAAGCTCTGGAAGAAGCTCGGCCATTGCACCCCTTGTTTGATGTCAAAGTCGATGATGTGAACTCTCTCCTTCCCTTCAAATGCTCTGAGTAACATCTCGTTGGCTGTGAAATGAATGAACTTTGGAATTGGGGTCACCTGATTCAAGAACCTCAATCCAGTTCCCGATTCATCCTCGTCTGCTCTTTCGAATTCCCGAGGGGGCATGACATGGAAGATGTGAGGCCACATCCTTGTGATTCTCAGAGCCAAAGCTTCAGTGTAATAGGCAGTGAGCCGAGTGAGAGGGATTTTCCCTCTAGGAGAAGCAAGATCGCCTAATCTCGCCATGAAATGGTTGATCGCCACAATGTTCTTTGTGGTAATTGCTTCTAAGCATCCTGTAAGCAAGCCGACAAGCTCAAAGTCCTTCTGCAACTCATCTCCATGGTTGTTGTTGTCCACTTCTTCACTTGTCCCTGCTCCTCCTCCACCTCCTCCTCTGCCTTCGTGCGAGTAAGGATTCCTTGAGCCGTTTGTTGGTTCGGGTAACCTGTATCGCAAGCCGTTCTCGGATGATGCACTTGATCCAGAAGCTTCCTTAACCGGTGCGGGTCTGCTACTCTCTCCCTCCTTGTCCCCTATACCCGCTAACTCGGTTATCACCGAGTCCACCCAGTTTGGATTACTCGGCCATTGCTGAGAAATCTCCTCACCTGAACACGTCAGAGAAAACGGCACTTCTGGGGAATTCTGCCCGGTGAAGTGCCCAAACCAGAAACTATCACCTGATCCCAACGGTTGATCCTGGCTTTCGCCTCGTTTCCTCTTCGCTCTGCTCAGACAAGACTCGTCGTCACCATCTGCCAACCTCTTCAGATTCTTCCCCTTGTTGATGTTGTCGCCGCTGTTCCAAGAAAACCCTTCTCCACCTCTTGCTGTTGCCAAAGGTGGAAGCTTGATGTGCTGCTTGAGAGAAGTCTTGGACTGGATGGGTTTGCCGTCAAGTGAGTTGCTTCTGCCGAGGGGTCTGGCGAACTGTGATGATGAACGGTTCGAAGAAGATTCCTTGCGGGAGAAGCTACTGCATTGTAAGTCCAATCTCTGTGTGTTCATGGGAAAATGGCAAGCTTGATGGTGGTGATGATGAAACTGAACTGCTGCTGGTGATTCTGTCCTCAATCTTCTCGTCGGTGACAACAGTGTGGAGCTCGAGCAACCTGCCAACATCCTCTACCGACTACGGCCGTCTCTGCTTTTTTTTTCTTTTTAAACCCTAATCTTGTTTCCAAGTTTCTTACAGTTTCTGGTTCTAATCTCTCTAAAACTGTGTATGCAAGTATGCAATGTCTGTATGGTTGATTCTCCTATATGATTTGAACAAATCTCTGAGTTTTTTTGAAGAAGAAAGTGTCTAAGTCCAAGTGTGTGTGAATTCTTTTTTACCAAAAACAAAAAGAGGAATCCGATGAGTAAATAAGCGAAATCAAAAGGGTGTTTTGTTGGTTGTGTTTGTGAAATCAAAGTGATCCTATATGAACAAGATGAATAAATCTTCCTATGAGTATGCAAAAAAAAAATTGAAGAACACAAATGGAATGAATGTTGAAACAAATCCGCAAACTATATCCAGAAAAAAGAATGAAAGAATGAAGGAAATTTTCTAATCTAAGATCAAAACAGCCTACCACAAAACAATCATCGGATTCCTAAACTTTCAAAAGCAATTCATTGGAAAACCAAGAGATTCACCTCGCGAACAGAGGAATCTTGCTTGCTTCTGTAAGTGAAAAGACATGCGAGGAGCTCCGAACCCGGTTCGATATCCCGGTTAACGGCCATATCCATGGCGGTTCCAGAGCTTCGGATGATGGAAATTACAAACACCCGGCTGAAGAAAACACTCTCAAAGATCGGTCTGAAACCAGGAGAACCCCTAATCGAGAAGAATCCAGGGAAAACCCAGATCAAGAATCTCTTTACAGGTTCATAGAACTGCTCAAAACTCACAAACCCAGATCAAGGAAACAAATAGAACTCTCAAAGATTGTTCCTTTTCTTCTTCTTATCTCTCTCTCTCTCCCTCTCTCTCCCTCTCTCCCCCTCGCCTCTGTACTACAAGTAGTATACTACTACTGCTACTAATACCATACTCCTACCTCTCTTTCCTAGTCTCCGATAATTGAAGTTCCCACCTTTCCTTTTTACAGCAAGTTATTTTCCTCTCTTTTTTTTGTCGGGAAGTGTGATGGTAGGCGAGTGGAATCTGGAGTGTTCTTGACCGTAGGATCTTCGGATCCAACGGTGGAGAATGTTGGGGTAAGTGACCGTTGGTGATTTGTCGGGGAAATATGACCGTTGAGGGGAAGGTTGAGGTCGGTGTACGGACAATTCAAGAAGGTTTTAGAAATATATACACGCACACTCTTTTTTTTTTGCTTGTATTTTGTTTCTCTCTCTCTCTCTCTTTTGTCGGGAAGTGGGATGGTAAGAGAGAGGAACCTTGGAGTATTCTTGGCCGTAGGATTTGCAGATCTAAAGGTGGGCTAAGTGACCGTTGGTATGTTGTCGGAGAAATATGACCGTTGGCTGCGACGGCAAATTCAATAAGGTGTCTCCGATTGGGCAAAGAATATTACTTGTATTTTGTTTTTCACTCTTTCTTTTTCGCATTTATTTATTTTTTAATATTGGTGCGTGCCATTCTGGTGTCACGTGATTGTCGCCTGACTGACGCATATATTTTTTTTCCCTTTTACCGTTAGTGATTAGATAATTTCCACAATGCAAATTTCACCTTAACCATAAGATAATACCTCAAATATAATCCAAATTTGATCTAAAAATTGGATATCATAATAATTTGAATTCGATAGTAAAATTATTATATCCAATAATTTCAATCAAAAAAAAAATTATATCCAATAATTCGGATTCGGTTTCTTATTTTTTCGCTTGGCCGTTGGTTATTAGCTAATTTCCCAATGCGCAAATTCACCTTTAACTATAAGATAACTCCTCCAACGTCTTTCACTTCCATCTACAGTGATGGCACGTGGCCTGACAACACGTGCGTATATAGATATACATGTATGTACTGTAGCGTGCAATTTTTTATTTTTTTTGGTAAACAGTAGCGTGCAATTTGCTCTCATTGTATTTTATCTTATTGATAAATTGAGTATAATAACGAGATTCTCTCTTCTATATGAAATTTGTATTCATCCTTCTCTTCATATTGTGAGTGAGTAATATCAAACATGTATTCATTAGTCCATTCTACGGATCACATTTATATTGTTAAATATATATCCTTCACAAAAATTATATTTATATATATAACCAAGACCGTCTAATAGGGTGTGCAAGTGGTGTCATGACTGAGCCCCCAATTGTTTAGGATCTCATTTTTTTCAAAAAAAATTATTTTTAAAATTTGATAATTATATGGATTTTAAATAAAAAAATAAAATTCATTATAAAAGAAAAAAATATAAATAAAATTTAAATCTGATTAAATTACGGTAGATTTGTTTTATTTTATAGTAATCTTAAATTTTTTGAAAAAATTGAAACAAAATAAAAATATAATTTGATAACAAATATAAATAATTTTTAATCAATATATATTTTAGAAAAACATTAAACAAATTAGGGGATGGGTGTTTGGAATAATAAAAGTACAAATGCTCAATGAGTAAATTTACATTGAAAAGCATGGAAAGGAAGAGGAAAGGTCCAATATCTCTGATTCTTGCTTGCAGATATAATTATTAACCAACACGCGCACTTGTTCATGGGAACGGGCCTCGTGAAATGAAATTGTGGGCTTCGTTTGAAGTTAATGGGCCAGGCCCAAACATAGCGGAATCTTCTTGATTCTATATTTTCGCAAAATATAGGGTTTAAGAACCAATTTCAACCGAATATCATATATAACTATATAGTCGAGCACATAAAAATTCAAAGAGTATGATTTTTCTAAACTGAAAAAATCGAATCAAATAAAAAAAATAACGAAACTGAATCCGAAACAGAGATTTTTTTTTATCAATAAAAATTGAATCTAGCGGATCGAACTGATTCGAAATCGATATAAAAATTAAATGGTTATAATATTTATAAAATTCAAATAACATAATTTAAATATAATAGAACCAAATATGAATCAAACCGAATTGATCACTCCTATTTTTGGATACAACAGTGAGGAAAAAAAAAAGAAACCCAAGATTATTATCATCACCGCCTTTATTATTGTTATTATTATTATTATTGGGTTGTTAACTGATTATGATTCTAAATATATGCTTGTAGCTTTATTTATATTCATTGATTGAATTTGAGTGGGACCGAAGCTACGTGCAAATTCACGTGGTACTGAAATGCGAACTTAAAAACAAATTAACACTTTTGGACTTCATAATTTCAATTAATTAATTAATTTATTTATATTACTTGGTTTAAACCTATATCCTATACGTGTATCTCTATGCATATGTACTAAAATACGTAAACATGTAGTAGAGGCTTATTAAATTAAGTTGGCGTTTCCCTAGGTCCATAATTTATGACGGGGTCTTTTGGTCATTGCTGACCACAACATAGCTATTAGTTTTACTTTTGCTTATCCCTCAAGGTTATTTTATTTTATTTTAAAAAATACATTATTTTATTTGACTCAAATTGCATGCAAAATGCAGGCTAAGATCTCGATTGACTGTCTTTTTCAGAAAATACAGATGGATTTATTGTAGATTCTAATGAGAATGATCGGATTATAAAATTGCATATACTCAGACCATAATATATATATATATATGTAGAAATAATCGAGCATGTATATCTTCTGATTATAAATTCAAACAACAATTAAAATCGCTTAATATTAGTGTCGGTCAACTTATTTATCCGGTTTTGGTAAAATGTATAGAAAAATATGGAAATATATATAAGATTGGATAGTTCAACGGTTAAAAAATAAAACAAAAAAAGTTTTAACTAAAATTTAAATCTAAATTTGGAGAGATATATTATTTCTTCGATTCTTTGAGAGATATAATAGTGTCAAATACTCGTTAAACTTTTGTATTATAAAAAAATAAAAAAAAAATGGTACAAATATTTAATAGTTACATTCACATTCTTGTACGTGTATTTCAATATACATTAGCAATAATATTCATTCAGCCCATCAAATGGCTTTACTAAGTTATAAAATATCAAGAATTTCGGTCGAAAACCCTAACTTTTAAATAACAAACGTAAATAGAATAATTTAGCAGTTACAAGTACAGTGAGATACATGATTCACAGATGATATTTTATTTAAAATAGAATGTCCATAATAAAACCTATATAGGATAATTTTTTAAAATAAAAAACAAATATTAAAATGGTTGTGAGTCACAACGACATGCAGTTTTTACTTAGGCGAAAGGTCAAATCCTATGGGGACAAGCAGACACGTAAACACCAATTTCTGTCCTCAACCCTAATTGTTCCCTTTTGAAAGAAAAATACTCATATTGTACGGATAATGATGATTAGTGTCATTATATACATCGTTTAAATTTTGAGTTACGAAAAAAATGAACAAGGTTCACTGGCAATTAAACGATAATGATATTCAAATCGTATATTTGGATATTTTGGGATGAGTAGAAAATTGTAAAATTAATTTTAAAAACGATATTTTATAACCGTTTTGGTTTTCGTTAATATTCCAGTGACAGATCTTATCAATAAAAATTATCTCAATATACATGTGCTATATACTATATAGCATAATTTCTATTCCATTTTTTACTATATATATTCTTTAAGATTTCCATATAAAAAGGGATTAAAAATTGAGACAAAGTGGTCGTTGTTACTGAGTGCGTACGGCACGGACAAGATGAAGAGGCTTTCTCCATAATTCTCTCAAAGCCTCGTGTAGCTTCAACGCCTATTATAAATTTATTCTATCAATAATTTCTCTCCCTTACCTTTAATTCTTTATTATTATTATTATTATTATTATAATCCTATTTCATGAATATGAACTATGGTTTTCAAAAAATAAAATAGTAGTCGTACTCATATCATATTATGATATTCATGTTGCGGGAACAAGATTTATAAAGTGGGATAAATAATATTCTTAGACCACCACCTTCCCACTGATTTTTCTTTTTCTTTTTTGATTGGATATGTTAAGTGAATATCTCAGTAGTAGAGACACATGAAATGAAAAACATAATATATTGACATAAATCACGAAGATCTTTGAAAATTATTAAAAAAAACATCATTTCTTATTGTTTCCATCGTCAATAATATAACCACTAAATATTTTGTAAATAATTTCATCTAAATTATTTAGATTTGATTTCAGATATTTTAAAATATATCAATCTTGATTTCAATATTATAAAAACTCATAAGACCAAATAAATGCAAGATTTTAATTATTATAATATCAAATTTTTCCATAGATATTATATCCATTTTATTCTAATTATTCGTGATGGATGTTCTAAATTTCTAATGGTCTATATTCGATGTAATATAAAAGTGGAAAAGAAATAAGGGTATTAATGTATTATATAGCCAGACTGGCCAGCCCAAACCATGAAGATCTCCATCTTATGGGCCCACATTGTTTGGACACACCAATAAATTTATGCCACGTGGTACACAGGCAGGATTCAAGCAAAGATAAGAGCGCACCACATCATGGGGAAGGGAACACTTGAACAGCTCCATCAAATAATTTAATGAGATTTTTATTTTCTTTTTTCAAGAAAAATACAATTTCGATATTCCTTTTTGGTAAAATACGGTTACAATGACCATAATCATAATAACAATAATAATTATTATATAATAATAATAATATCCAATGAACTCTAATAATTATTCATTTCCTAAATCTCGAGAAAAAAAAAACAAAAGAAAATTCCACCAATTCATCACCACATTATTAAAATAGCTTATTTAATGTTGAATTAAATAAACAATCATATATTATTATCATTCATGTAACTCCATTATAAAAGTGTGAGAAATTAAAACAATAGCTTATTTGAGCTGTCATTGTATTGGTGCATCTCCCAAACCATCACATTCTATGCATTGTATGAACTTCTTCCCTTTTTCTTTCACGGTCTTAACTTAATTGAGCCTTATGTAAGAAAATCTTTATATATATATTTACTTAATATATCTATCTTCACAATACCTTTCAAATTGGAACATAAAAATGGAGGAAACACAATTTGCAGAGAGATTAAGTGAGTTGGTCCAAAGATGAAGACATAAACCATTTTTTGTACCATGATGTGAGAAACTGCCATTCTGTCAATTTGCAATATTATGTAAATTCTCACTATTTTCTATTAAATTCCTTATAATATCTTTTATACATGATATAATGTGAGATATACCACAATAATGTGAAACCCTAACCATCATCTATTTTTGTCACGATAGTCTTGAATTGATTAGTTCTTCTAGGCATATATATATAGCCAGTCTTAATTAATCGATCCCTAAACTAAGCTTTTTCGACCCACATACTTTATGTAAATCAATGCATAATCTAATGGTTTAGGGGAAATGGAGATTACACAGTGAGCTACCTATTTGTCATTAGAGAAAGCCCCCATGGTTTTGATGCATAAATTCCGAGTTTTTGTTTAAGTGAAATGGGTTAAATTTATTAGGAGATTGTTGGGTTTTGATGATAATTGAGGTTGTGTATATACATAAATATACATCTTTAACAAAAAATAAAGTGTGTATATATATATATATATATATGAAAGTAATAATAAACACAAGACAACAAGATCTAATAAAGAGATTTAGAGCATGAATGTGAGAACCCAATAATTAGACTTAAAAATAATTGTAACGAACCCACAAGAGATATGATCAACCTGTCAGTTATTTTGATCGTTGTATCTAAGATTTCATAAGATCATGGAATATTTAGCATTAGATATGGGAAGAGAAAAATAGTTTTAATGTGTATGAGAGACACATAAACAATAACAAAGGAAGCATCCTTGTAACCTTCACATTATTGTATGAGTGCTTTCTATGAGTGTGTGTGTATATATATATATATATATATGATAAAATGGGACGTGTAATAAGAGACTGGCCTGTCTATTTAAGGGCTCATCATATGGTTGATGAGATACGCCAGCACTTATACAGCTTCTCTTCTCTGTCTTCTTTCCTTCTGCACGTTTCAGTTTCAGTTTCTGTCAGCTACATATAACCAGATTTCCATTATTACTTCTTCATCTTACAAAAGCAATCTTATAACAGTGATGTGGGCATTGTGCATTTGGGCATCTTTGTTTCTGATTAGTATCACTCATTGGGTTTACAGATGGAGAAACCCTAAATGCAGAGGGAACCTTCCGCCCGGTTCCATGGGTTTGCCGCTGCTCGGTGAGACCCTCCAGTTCTTCAGGCCTAATACCTCTTCAGACATTCCATCCTTTATCAAAGAGAGAACAAAGAAGTGAAGTTTTTTTTTTTTTGCTTTTTATCTCTATGCATATTAATGTTCTTGATTGTTGCAGGTTAACCTTTTCTTGATTTGTGATATGCAGATACGGGCCGGTTTTCAAGACCAGTCTTGTGGGACGACCGGTTATTGTCTCGACAGAACCGGAGCTTAGTTATTTCGTGTTCCAACAGGAGGGGCGTTGCTTCCAGAGCTGGTATCCCGAAACCTTCACAGAGATATTTGGAAGACAGAATGTGGGTTCTTTGCATGGATTCATGTATAAGTACCTCAAGAACATGGTTTTGACTCTCTTCGGACATGAAGGCCTGAAGAAGATGCTCCCTGAAATCGAACAGATTGCGTGTCGAAAGTTAGATCTTTGGTCGAGTCAGGATTCAGCAGAACTGAAAGACGAAACCGCAAGCGTAAGTGCAGAAACAGAAGAAAAAAAAAAAAAACAAGATCCTGTCTTTTGATACAGTTCTTTGTGATATGATGATTCCTAGTTTGCTAACATGGATTCCTTCTTTACCAGATGATATTTGACCTCACTGCTAAAAAGCTGATAAGCCATGATCCAGGGAACTCCTCGGAGAATCTAAGAGAAAACTTTGTTGCGTTCATTAAGGGTTTGATCTCCTTCCCTTTCGACATTCCTGGAACAGCTTATCACAAATGTCTGAAGGTGAATCATTACTAAGAATTCCATGATCACGTTCTCTGATTCGATACTAATGCTTAAATGGGTTTCGCAGGGTAGGGAAA